ATGAATTTCATCAGGCCCTACCAACTTGAATAGATCTAATTTATCTAAATAATCTTCAACCTGCTTCTTCTCTATTTTGGCTTTTGTTCCTTCCACCTTGTTGTTAATATTAACTGTGTTGAGTATCAGTCATCATTAACCCTTTTAGTGAAGACAAAATAGGCATTAAACACCTCAGCCTTCTTGATATCATCAGGTATTAGCTTTCATTCTCTGCTGAGTAGAGAACCTATGCTTTCCTTAGTCTTTTTCTTGCTCCTACTTTATTTAAAAAAAACTTCTTCTTATTCCCTTTTGTGTTCCTTGCTAGGCATAACTAATTTTGTGCCTTAGCCTTTCTGATTCGTGCCTACATGCTTGTGCAATTCTTTTTTCACTCCTCCTTAGCAATGTGTCCATGTTTCCATTTTTTGTAGAATTCCTTTTTGATTTTCAGGTCATTAAGGAACTCCTGAATGAGCCATAACCACCTCTTACTATTCTTCTTATCTTTCCTTCACATCAGGATAGTTTGCAGTTGTGCCTTAATATTGTCTCAATAAATTGCCAGCTCTCCTGAACTCCTTTTTCCCTTAGATTTTCTTCCCACGGGACAGTACCTACCAGTTCTCTGAGTTTGTTACAATTTGTTTTTTTGAAGTCCATTCTTTTATTGTTTATCTCTTTACTGCTCTCACTCTTTCCTTTCCTTAGAATCATGAAATCTATTGTTTCATGATCATTTTCACCCGAATTGCCTTCAACCTACAGATTCACAACCAATTCCGTCTTGTCAGTCAGAATCAAGTCTAAAATGGCTGTCCCCCCTGGTTTCGTCCTCTACTTAATGAAATAAAAAGTTGTCCCCAATATTTTGCAAGAACTTACTGAAAAACACTTGGTGGGATAAATCTCATGACTGAAATATCAGTATAGGGGGTTATAGCTTGTTTAGGAAGGACGGGGGGGAGGGCAGAAGGAGGACATGTTGCATTATACATCAAGAATATATATACTTGTTCTGAGGGCCAGAAAGTTGAGAGGTCGATCAGTTGAAAGTTTCTGGGTAAAGATAAAAGGGGAAAAATCAGGGTTGACATCATGATGGGGTCTACTATAGACAATCAAATCAGGAAGTCGAGGTGGAAGAGGCATATCTAGAACAAATAATAGAAATATACAAAACATAAGACCTAGCAATAATGGGGGGATTTTAACTACTCAGACATCTGTTGGAAAAGTAATTTGGCAAAACAGATCTCTGATTTCACTTAAATCATAATTTAGCTTATGTACTAATACTTCCAGTTCTTTCTGTCTATTCCCCATAATCCTTATATTTCGCTATAATCAAAGATGTTGAGCAGATTGTCCCACTGATTTCCCTTTTATTTCTCATATGACCCTATTGTAATTTTCCATTTCCTCCCCGTCTAGCCCTCTGGTTGCTTTTTTATATTTACCTGTGGGCTTCATAAGCATAGATCAGACCACATTAATAGCCCAAGGCAGAACCAGATGTCTCAATAGTGGGATACAAGTTAGGGCAGGTCCACACTGGGGCGGGGGATCGATCTAGGAAACGCAACTTCAGCTACGAGAATAGTGTAGCTGAAGTCGACGTTTCCTAGATCGAACTAAATTTACTTACTTCGGGTCCACGCGGCGCAGGCAGGCTCCCCCGTCGTCAGCGCTTCCTCCTCTCGGCGAGCAAGAGTTCCGCAGTCGACGGGGGAGCACTTCTGGGATCGATCTATCGCGTCCAGATGAGACGCGATAAATCGATCCCAGAAGATCGATCTCTACCCACCGAATCAGGCCGGTAGTGTGGACCAGCCCTTAGATAATTTCTTCAAAAACCTTTTAACTGTATCATACACAAATAGTGATCTGTCATCAATCAAAACATGATAAGCTGAAAGAGTCACCAAATGAAATCTTAAAGACAAATTAAAGAGCCCCTCACACTTCAAATACATTATACATTCCAAAACACAGAGAACAGAAGTTGTAAATGGTGAGCCAGATTTTTTCATTAAAAAAAAAATAAAAAATCTAAACCATTTCAAATAACATTTCATTACAGATTGTTTTCTAGAATTAAGCAATATATTCTGACTAATGACAAACAAGTTGTTCAAGATTATTCAAAGTCCGATAGGCCAGGATGTTACATAGAGAGCTTGGGGATCCAGATGAAGAATTTGCCATACTGCTTTGAAAACAAGTCTGGAGGCAAAAGAAAGAATCTGTAAACTCCCTCCAACAGCTGAAGCAGGTCTGCATAGCATTGCTGTCTCTGCCAAGCTGGAGCAATCAGGACCAACTCTTGCCTTCCCTCTCTTATCTTCCTCACCACCATCTGAATTAATGGAAAAAGGGGGGAAAGCATACAGGAGGCCCTCTCACCACTGCATCCGGAAAGCGTTGAAGATGGACTCACTGCTCTTTCCCACACTTAATAGAAAAGACTACTCTTTTTGTTGAACTTGGTTGCTAGCAGATCCACAATGGGCCAACCCCAACTGGAGATCTCTTGTACCACGTGGTCCTTCAGAGGCCACTTGTGCATCTGAGAAATTTCTCTGCTGAGCTCATCTGCCAATACATTACTGTCCCCTGCTAAACAGATAAACATTGTGTAGAATGCACCAGTCCCACAGACTGACTGCCTTGGCACACAGCAGAGGAGACAGGGCCCCTTCTTGCTTGCAGATGTAATACAGGGCCAACTATATTGTCCATCGTTACCTGTACAAACTTCCTCCTTATTTGAGAAAGAAAAGATCTGAGAGCCAGGTGAAGTTCCTCTCAGTTCTAAAACATTTATCTGCAAATTCTTTTCCTGAAATGCCCAGTGATCTCAAACTATCGGAGAACCCAGATGAATTCCCCATCCATTGTCTGATGCATTGAGATTATTGTGGCAAATGGCAAAAGGGAACTGAACAGGATGCCTTTGAGAACATTGGCTCAGTTTGTCGTCCTCATCAAAAAAATCAAAAATGTCCTGAGGCATGGTGACTGGCATGTGAAGAATGTCCGGTTTTGGCTTGTAAACTTGAGCCATCCACCATTGCATGGGCCTCATTCTGAGGAATGCATATGAAGTAACATAAATAGACACTGCCAGGAGACCTCTTAGACCCAAATAGAAAATTACTTTCTGGGTCTGATGACATGGAATCTCTGGAATACCATCATCACCACAAATCTTTCCTCTGGAAGGAAAGCTCTCTCTGCTACCAAGTCCAGTATAGCTCCTATAAAATGGATTCTCTGACTTAGACATAAATTGGACTTTTTGATATTCAGAAGTAGTCCTAATCCATAAGTAGGGAGGTAGAATCTGAATGTGAGCTAGCAAATCTTCACATAACAGAGCCTTCAGCAGCCAATCATCTAACTATGGATAAACAAAGATACACGGTTTTCTTCGATGCACTGCTACTACAGAAAGACACTTAATATAGACCCTTGGCACTGTAGAAATGCCAAATGGCAGAACCCTGTACTAAAAATATCTCAGTGCCATCACAAAATAGATTTACTTCAGATGATTTAGCCAATTAGAGTTATGGAAATATGCATCTTTTAAATCGAGAACTGCAAACCAATCCATACTTCAAAATGATGGAATTATAAATGCAAGGGTTAACATTCCAAACCAAACTTCCAGAAGAACTTGTTCAACTTACTTACATCTAAGCTTGGACAGACCAATTCACTGCCTGGTAATTAGCCCCCCTAATACCTAAAAAGTGTTGATTTACTTTCAGGTCTATTGAACGAATACATGCATATCATACACAAACACACAATGCCTCTCCAGAGCAGGATCTTTGCACTGTGGTGGCATAAAGAGCTTCGAAATCTGTGGCTGTGCTTTATCTTCAGTGATAAGACCTCCGTTTGCAGACTGTCAATTCAGCAAATTTCATGAGCACTATATTCATTAGAAATTTTTTTGAAAAAAAACTAATATCCAGATAAATTCTCAGTGAAATTTAATATATTTCAGGGTTTAGAATTTATTTTACTGTACAGGAATAAATTAGTGTTTCTTTGAATGCCTCTGTTTTGTTTCTATGCCATGTATATCTACAGATAGTAAGAAGTCTCCCTGTGCTAAGATGACATTTACATCGTTTATAACAACCATGTCTTAGAGTGACATGGTATCCATTACTACTGGCTGGAAGGAGTCCAAAAAACAAATCAGTTGTGTGTTCTTGGTCGCTTGACGATTTGGAGATTTCCTATGCATCTGGAGATTTCCTCCATTAAGTACAATCTGTAAGCAATAAAGATCTCAAAAGAAAGGTACTTATCTTGATTTTTTCCCCCCAGTAAGGAATGTTTTCAGCCTTTGGCTTTGCCTTGGGCAACTGGTCTTAAATAAACAGTAAATGCCAACCTTATATGTGACTCTGCTCAGTTCTTTTTCATTTTGTGAGTGGGGACCATAAATGTGGTTCTTTTCTTTCCTTTTTTAACAAAGCAAAGTTGTCACAATAGAAATTAACTATAAGACATATAATATATAGCAAAAAAAAGTGTTTAAAGTTTACTACTTTTGGGCCTCAAAGGACACTGATGACCTGACAAGATGATGGAGTGTTTAGAGCCTTGTATGTCATTTTTTTTTAATCAGACTGGCAGAAAAAAAGATCTGTGCAAAAAATAAAATTGTAGCAAGAATTGTACTAGTTCACCAAACAGTCCTCAAAAGAAATCCATAACATGAATACATTCAACATTTACATCATAGTAATTCTTTATTTACTAACTTATAAACAAAATCAAGTAACAATGTATAAATGTTGAGTATACAGAGAAAGCTACTTCATTTTTGAAATCTACTACTACTGTGTAGGTCATGGTCGTATCACGATTATTTAAATTCAGAAGCAATACTTCACTGATGATGTACTGCAGTGCTTTAGGCTACAATCATCTCACAATGCCTGAAGGGTTATTACAGTGGAGAAATTCTACTGAGGACAATAAAAGATCCTTACCCCTTCCCGAAGGCACCTCATTAGCACAGTGTAAGCAGCCAAGGGAACGACCCAGCATTCTCTGTGGTGCTCCTTTTTTTCTTCCTGTAATGAAGTGGAAGGATCAGCAATGAAGCTAACAGCACAAATGATATTAACCCTTTAATTAAAAAATCATAATATCTCAGCCATGAAAAATACATCCAACAGATTTTAAAAGGTTAATATACATATGTCAACTGAATAAAATCTAGAAGATAGACTAAATTCTGGAACAAAAGTTGAATTTGATATTTTGAATTTTTATGACACAAAAGTTGATTTTTATTATATGGTTGAAGCACGATCTAAAATTCCTATGAGTATTTGTCCTTAGGTTTGTATTTTTCATTGGCTCAATGTAATTCACACTCAAAACCAGTCCTACAATCTCGGCAATCATTTTGATTAATTCGTTACCGGTTTCTAAAGTACTAAAAATAGAACAAAAATTCTATTATATCTAGAAATACATTTGCTTACTGTCCCTCAATTTAAAAAAGTTTTTAAAGAAAATTTGTTTTTGAAAAATATGCAGAAGTTATAAGAGTAGCTTATTCAAGACCCAGTATGGAGCACTTGGAAATCTGCTATTTATGTAGATAGAAGTAACAACATTCCAGAATCCTTACATACCTGTCCTACTGGAATAGTCTTGTTCTATTCACTAAAATGAGACTATTAGTCCGCTATTAGTGGTAAATAGAGGGCTGCTTTTTTTAAAAAAAAGTGGCATATTACAAATTGTCAGGTAAATAGAAGGTCATTTGGATTTTCTTAGTATATAAAGAACCTGTAACATTTCATGAAAACAAATTGCATATTTAGGCACTAACCTGCATTTGATAGCATATAGGTGCTAGTAATTACAGGAGAAAAACATTTGCTGGGAAAATTAAAGAGAATAATCTTTTAATGTACTGCATACTCTAAAAAGCATAGAATGGATGTACAAAGTGATCAGGTTAATGTTGCAGGAACAACCTTAATTTTCTGTGTCTTCTGACTTTTGAGATTCAATATATATTTCAACATCACCGTTCCATTAATAAGATATACTAGTTGAAGAAAAGCCATTAATGAATTGCTTTCCATATATTTTCCTTTGAGAGGAACACAAATACGTACAACCCTAATCAAAAATCAAATACTTCATTTTTTTCCGTCCAACATCATCATTTCTTAAACCTTGTTTCATTCAAAGGGAGAATAAAGTTTAAGTTGATTATGAAGGGCACCAATAGAGAAACTGAGTTTTTATCAATGTCTAATTTCCTTTGAGCTCTATGCCAGCTAACTACCAATTAAAAAGTGTGGTGTAATTTCCCTTGGAACTGACACCTGCAAAAATGATAGATCTGTCAAGTTACATGGTGTAACCAGGGGATATTCAATTTAACGCCAGCCATGGACATCTAACCCTGGGCTATGATGTTCTCTCCCCTGCCTTTTTTTTTTAAAAAAAATTTATCTGCAGATATTTATAGAGAGATATTCTTAATTTACATTTTTTCTTCATGTTACTGTTAAAAGCAAATCGGAGATCAAGTGCTCAAAGTAACCCCCAACATTTGAGAAATATTACAAAACGTGAAAGGATGTGAAAGTCATCTCTGGACACTGGCAAACTGGGTTTTAACCCGTTTGCCTTTCCCCATCCACTGCAAAAGTGAATAGGGGAAAATAACTAACCTTACATTACAGCCCAATCAAGTTCAAGCAGAGGATGCCTTGTAATTCCATAGGAGGAATAAGGGCTTGTCTACACGGTGCCAGCAAAGCACTCTAGAGGGATGTGATTTGTAGAGTGCTCTAATGCATTGTGCTCCATGTAGGTCCCTCTGATATGTTCTTGAAAGTACTTCGTTCACGTTAATGTAGTCCTATACCATATTAATTATAAGAGAACATGCATTTGGGCTGTGAAGGATACAATGTGAATACTTTTGTGTGTAAGAGAAATTACTAATTGTAACTGGAGTTAACCAATGCTCATATTCACTTTAGATCCTCATTCTGGTCTTGTGCCCTTATGAAATTAATATAGTAATATTCAAAACGTTTAGATAATGTAGTTAATGCATATGCCTCAAGGGACACAAAGTATAACATGCAATATCCTTTCATGCAATATCCTTTAATATCTTTTTAATCTGAAGTGATCTACATTTAAGAATTAAAATTCTGTTTTTATTCTTTAGAAAAGAAGAAAAAATTCACATGGGGGTTTAGAAAAAAAATGCTATCTTCTGTTATTACTATTAATAGTATTTCTCTTTCTACAAAAGCTAGCATTGTCTAGAAAATGCTACTCCAGGTAATGGCTGGTGCAGAACATTGTTCCTTTTGTTGCCAGTTCGATGGTCCAAATACAGCCTATGTCAGTAATCATCAAAATTTGCCATTTGAAATTACTTGGTCTCAGTCCAGTTCCTAGAGGACAGCTGTTCACATAAAAAAAACACTGTTACAACTGGAACCTATATTGAGTCTCTCAGCAGAGGACAATGTAAGTGAACTACCCATTCAAACTTAAAGATTGTCTCCCTCCTGATAAGTTTTGAAAAACAATGCTGGGGCAGCAAGGGCAAAATGCTACACTGCTGTCTGCATTATACTGTACCTTACCTGTGCATTGAGACAGAGGACCATAATATACTTAACTCTGTATTTCTTGATTTTTGTGCAATAAAATTTCAGTTAAGTACTCATTTGCTGTTTAACATGCCAGATGCAGGGCAACACTGATCCATGTACATCACCACTGAAATGCAGGCAAGGGAATATTGCATCAGTTAACCAGTGTCCAAATTCACTCACATTCAGGTCACACAGAAAGGCTCATTTGTTTTATGACCTTTTGTGGGTGGGGAAGGAATCATGTGAGAATAGAGTTGTAAGTATGGAGGGAAATCAGTGATTGTGGAAGAAGCTTTTAACAGTTGGAAAAAGCTTTTTTTTTTTTTTTTTTTTTTTTAAAGTAAATCCCCATCCACTGCTTTGAAAATGTAGGGATAACTTCTAAGAGCTATTTTCTACTGTGCATACAGCACCAGTGACCCAGTAAAAGCAAGACAGTTTAATGAGACTACAGGAACTGCCACTGTTGCATGAAAACATTTCAATCCTGCTACCATCAGTCTGGATTCCCTCCTTCCAAGGGGGGAAATACCATCACATGAATTAGAAGCATTAAAGGCTTCATTTCAGTTTTAAAACGCCTCTTTCAGCAAGCACAAAGGAACATTTTTAGAAATAACAGAGAGCATTGAGAAGTGTAAACTGGGATAACTGAGAAAAAAAAATGATACAAAAACTACAGTGAAAGAGTGTAAGAAATTTAAACAAAGAGGTTGAAACTTCTATGATCTGTCCTGGAGATTCACAAAGTAGAGGGCGGTTATAAAATGGCAACCAAATAATTCCATGGCCCCTTTAAAAAAGTTACATTTTATTTCAAACAAGAACTTCAGGCATTTCCTTCTCTTAATGGCAGTAGCTAATGAAAGAGAGCGAGAGAAAGCAGATGCAACAGTGTGGGATTTTACAAGACTTGCAAATCCCCTGTACTTTTAATGTCACAGCACTTGAACATATTAAACATTAATAAGGCATGCACTTGAGGGTAACAAATGCTAAGAATACCCACATAGGATGTTTACCTTACTTCTGAAAAGGATTTGAAACATTAAAAAGATTTGCAAAGATCTTACAGACTTACCTGACTAGCTATCAGGAAAAGCACCTCCCCAAGGGCGGGTAAAAGGCATTGTTTCAATTTGCTGTTCCTGAAGTTTTCCCTGATCACTTCAGTTAGGAGCATGACTGCCTAAAATATAAGATATGATAGGCCTTAATTGGCAACCTTGTCTCAGACAAAACTTACACTGAAAACCAGCTGAGATGTGCCCGAGACCCAATTCTACTTCTGTAGTCCTCACTCAGGCAGAACTTTCATGCACATAGAATAAGGTTGGTAAAGAAGAACAGGAAGAAATTTTTAAACTACGATGTGAAACAACTGAGAGGTATTGCCTATACTATAGACAGTAGTGATCCTTAAAGTCAATTGTTTCCAAAAGTTACTGCATGCTATGTACTTGAGATGCTGGGTTATTTTTACATACTTTATATAAGCGATAATTGTGGTATCACACATACCATGGTGTGTTAACACGTGAAAATATCAGCTTTTTAATGACTACTGTAAAATATATTATTATTATTACTGCTTGTACTACCCTTTTCAGAGGATCAATAAAACATTACCAGCTACCAATCTTGATACACACCGGCAGGAATAGCATTTAATATTTCATATAAATAATAGGGCTTCCTACTGCATGCTTACCTCCATGATATTTTAAAATGTACAAAAATAAATACAAGGCTCAACAGCAATTTGAAAACAAGACTATAGAAATGAATGCATTATCACCACCTTTGACATGACAAATATACTGTGCACTATTTCACTCTTCCATCTGTAAACACTTCCTCTTCCATTCCCCTTTAAAAACCAAAAGTACCTCTGTCAGTCTGAGGAGAAAGTTCCTATGTTTAGTTTATGCCTTTTTGCTGGGGAACAACTGGTTGCAGACTTGTTAAGCAGTATTTTTATTTTTTTCATTTAAAAAAAAAAAAAAAAAAGGTTTGTATCTCCCAAGACAAGTGTCAGACAGTCATTAATTCCAAGATCTTGGGTGTCTACTTTGTTTTCAGTACCTGATTGGAAAAGTAAAAGTCTATCCAATGAAGACTGTTCATATCTGACCAATCAAATAAAAACTAAACAAATAATGTACTGGTAATATTCTTTTCATTGTTCAATTCTCATCTAATTTTATACTTCCATATGGGTAAAGAGTACTCTAACCCATGGAGTTTGATGTGCCACCTTTTTAACATACAAGTAGTAAAGAGAACGGTCACTCAGAAACTGAGAGACCAGATGCATTTCTTAACTGAGATGGATCTAGGCCTCACCTACAAAAGACAAACTAGAGAGACTTACAGACAGAGCACTTGTCTTTAATGTGCCCTTCTCCAAGGCACAATGAACATCGAGCGTGGGGTCAATATTAGGGATCGCATCCCACATGACAGTGTTTAAAACCTGATGAGTGCATTTCAAGCTAAATGCTACTTAACTATCTACTACTAATTAATTAAATACTAAGAGTACTATTATAACCAATTATATACACAAGATCACAAGAAAGCACTGACAGAAAAACATGAAGCAAGATACGAAAGACCAGACATACTTGTCAGACCAATGGTCCATGCAGCCCAGTATCCTGTCTTCTGACAGTGATCAATGCCAAGTGATTCAGAGGGAATGAACAGAACAGGCAATCACCCCCTTTCGTCCACTCCCAGCTTGTGGAACACAGAAGCTAAGGATACTCAGAACATGGAGTTGCATCCCTGACCATCCTGGCTAATAGCCATTGATGAACCTACCCTCCATGAACTTATCTAGTTCTTTTTTGAACCCTGTTACAGTTATAGGCCTTCACAACATCCCCTGGCAATGAGTTCCACAGGTTGACTATGCATTGTGTGGAGAAATACTTCCTTTTGTTTGTTTTAAACCTGCTGCCTATTAATTTCATTGGGTGACTCCTAGTTCTTGTGTAATGTGAAGAAGTAAAAAACACTTCCTTATTCACCTTCTCCACACCAGTCAAAATTTTATAAACCTCTATCATATCCCCTCTTAGTCATCTCTTTTCCAAGTTGAACAGTCCCAGTCTTTCTTTCTCTCTCCACATATGGAAGCTGTTCCATACCCCTAATCCCACTTGCTTCTGGGTATCACTATTGTCTTTTATCTTATGTTTTAATTTAAAAAACAAAAATAATGGATTTTAAAACTTCTGATATACAATATGGAACAGTTTGAGAGAGAAAAACAGTACCGTTTTTGTTGAGTGGTTCTGAACTGAATAATAACTGTGATATTGGCAGCCTTGTTGTACCTTCCCTTAAAATTAGACTACAAGCCTTTCAAGACAGGAACAGTGTCATCCTATGTATTTCTATAGTACCTAACCCAATGAGACCCTTATCCTGAATGTGGCTTTTATACCACTAGTACTAATCCAAACACACACAATATGGGATACTAAGGAAAGAACAGTAGTGGACAACACTGAAAAGTTAGCATTTACCAACCATTATCACAAATTTCCTAAGCTAAGTATAGAGGAAAATTCTTGCCTCTGAAATACCACTCTCTGGTAAATGTTATCAAATACTGACTTTTTAATGGTGAACACTTTATAAATTAGCCTATGATTTTCCTCTCTTTGCTGAACACATTCAAGGAACCAAGTTCTCCGTAGCTATAGACAAAACACGTACACCTAAAATGATGTGGCCCATTGAGTCAGAGGGGTATCTTGGTTCCTCCCCAAATCCATGGAGAGGCCCTTCTCAGGTCACCTGCAACTGGAGAGATGTGGGTCAGAGCCTAGGGATCAGGAATCCTGGTCTAGAAATGTGCCTTGACAAAAAATGGGCCCTAACTAATCTCTTCATTCTCCCACAAACACAAATATTACTTTTACTCCTGACAGGAATAATATAGGATAGATTACAGGAGTAAATTAACTGTGCTTTAGGGCCAAATATAAAAGTACAAAATTTGGGCCATAGACTTTTTGTTCAAGGTTAAAGGGCAATAACTTAAGCAATAAATAAATAAAAAGTGTAGTCGTATTTTATTACTTGGAAAAAAAAACTGCGTAATAAAAAGTCAATTTATATTAATTATCGACAATATGTCATCTCTTCCCACTCAGGCTATTATTTTTCTTTTCTATCAGCCTACATTTTCCCTATTGAGCAATTAGTAATGAACTGTAAGTCCCACAGCATCTTGAAAAGGCATTTTAAATGTAACACATCAGTTAGACATTTTATACTAGCTGTCAAGTTGGATGGACATAATAGATATAGTTACAATAAAAAAGAGCAAAGATACAAGATTTATATCTGGATAGACAGCCATTAGCTATACGTATGACAAAATAATATGTCGATCCAATATGTTATTCCTTGGATATTTTCACCCCAATTCAGGCATCTAGAAGTTTCTCTGCAGTTCAGAAGCCAGTATTATAAGTTTGTTCACAAACAAGAGCTATTTTATACCTTATGAAGTAGGTAGCAGAGATTTACAACGTTTCTCCATTTTTAATCCATTGGTATGAGGTGTCAGTAAGCATTAGTGGAAATTAGAACACATTTGTAATGCTGCAGACCCTTACAGAGATAAAACTGCCTATGCCTCCAGCATAATAGAAATTGCTGTAGAGCTCAGTGTCTTGTAAGTAGACACACATCATGTTATGTGTGCTGATAATAACAAAACAACTTCACTTTCCTTTGAACACAGTACTCTCCCTTGGCTGCAAAAGTAGGTTATATACAGTATTAGCACTAAACAGAAAAATAACTAACTATCTCTACTATAACGTTTTTAAAAGTACACATGAAAAAGCACATATACTCTGTTACAAAGAAAGATAATGGTGTTTCTTAGAATATCCTAAAATACCGATTTGCATAAGTGGGGAAAAGGTGATAGTGCTATCATTGGTTGAACACTATAAAGATTTGGAAATATCTTCACCAAAAATATGGCAAGTTCATTAGAATTATGTGTTATTTGTGTATCTGGATGACATCGCTGTATTCTTAAAAATGATTTCAGCACAAATTATTATCTGTCTGAAAATTCAATAAGGCCATTCATTAAGGCCAAGAGAATGTTTCTAGATACCTTAAATGACTGCTTCTTGGAGCAACTAGTCCTGGAACCCACAAGAGGACAGGCAATTCTTGATTTAGTCATTCGTGGAGCACAGGACCAGGTCTAAGAGGTGAATATAGCTGGACTACTTTGTAACAGTGACCATAATTAAATTTAACATCCCTGTGGCGGGGAAAACACCACAGCAGCCCAACACTGTAGCATTTAATTTCAGAAAGGGGGACTACACAAAAATGAGGAGGTTAGTTAAACAGAAATTAAAAGGCACAGCAGTAAAAGTAAAATCCTTGCAAGCTGCATGGAAACTTTTTAAAGACGCCGTAACAGAGACTCAACTTAAATGTATACCCCAAATTAAATAACATAGTAAGAGAACCAAAAAAGAGCCACAGTGGCTAAACAAAGTAAAAGAAGCAGTGAGAGGCCAAAAGGCATCCTTTAAAAAGTGGAAGTTAAGTCCTAGTGAGGAAAATAGAAAGGAGCATAAACTCTGGCAAATTAAGTATAAAAATATAATTAGGAAGGTCAAAAAAGAATTTGAAGAACAGCTAGCCAAAGACTCAAAAAGTACTAGCAATTTTTTTTTTTTTTTTTTTTTTTTTTTTTTTTTTTTTTTT